TAAAGCTATGTAGATATGCAATGATTGGCTCCTAGAGCCCCTGGAACCATGTACCAGGTATTACAAGAGTGACAAGTCACTCTTCATGTAACTTGGGTACACTGGGGGTACGTACCCCGTTACACAACGACAGATAAAACCGGCAACGCAAAAGCCGGCATTACATAACCGCTTCCATAGTAACACAGCGACACTTTTATCCAATCAAATTCAAATATTTTGAAATATGTACCCAATCATGGAAATATGGAGTACATGTGGAAAATTGAGCCTGACGGGGTAATCAACGACATGGTCGACAAACGGAGCAGACTGCTGGCGCTGCAACGTATGCACACACGTCTCGCTACCCGGTAAATTGTACTTTTTAAGAAAATTAGTCAAATAAATTTCTAAATTAACAATATTTTGTATTTTTTAGCCATGAGCTTACATCTCAGAAGCCCCAAACGGCAAATAAGAGCACGGAAGACCTCGAGCAAACTCGCGTCGAGTTTGTAATCAACTTCTGGAGAAACTTTGCTGCGTATCAGCCGTCTGAAATTCTCAACGTTGATGAAACCGCCATCGACTTTGATATGCCCCCCGCGCGAATTTGGCCAGGGCGTGGACGAAGGGATGCTGCGCGGCTTGCCAACACGTCGAAGCATGCGGGGCGGATGACTGCAGTGCTAACAACTCGTGCAGACGGTAATTGTTAAATTGCTTGTTTGTAATATTTTTTATTAACATTTTTTTTATATTACAGGTAAAAAAAAACTTCCCATTCTGTTCATAGTGCGTGGCAAGCTCGGAGGTCGAATCGAAGCCAACGAGTTTCAAGAATACCCGCCAGGACATTTCTACACAGTACAGGAAAGTGTGTGGATGGACGATATAAGTTGGGAATTTTATGTTAAGAAGTTGTTAAAATACGATATAGAAGGACCCACCGTCCTGTTTCTTGACAACTGTGAGTGTCATGTGTCTGTGGCCGGACAGCGGGTTGTAGCTGAAGAAGCTAACGCCATTGTGGTCCCACTCCCTCCAAATAGCACCGCAGCGTGCCAACCGCTGGATGTTGGGGTTATGGGACCCCTAAAAGCCAAAATGCGGACCAACTGGTCTGGCATTACTGGGGGCACGGCTAAACAAAAGCGCATCCGTGCAATTCGCGCAACAATTGCTGCTTGGAATGACATTTCTGAGGAGACAGTAAGAAGGCAATTCCTCAGTATCCTGAGATTAGCATTTAAAAAACTTTTTTGCAGAACATCCGGTTTTCTATTTGTTTTATGCTCTGAAACATTAGTTTTCATCCAATCAAAATCTTTAATTAAACGGATACCGGCTTTTCCGTTCAATGACTTACTATAAAGATGGGTCAGTGATGCCACCGAAATCTGTCGTTGTCTGTATATCCATCCAATTGGATTCTTCAAGACTATTTTTACGATTGATTTTATTTTTTAAATACTTTAATGTATTCTAACACATTTTAAGAAATGTGTCGAGTTTATCACGAGCAGCAGCTCCAGCTTCAACGAGACCTTCTCCTCGTTCTCCTCCACTTGCTGGACCTCGTGGACCTCCTGGTGTAACGGGGTTACACGCGAGTGGCTACATGCAGCCACTTGATCACGACAATGAATTCCACGTTGGTGTGAGGTACACGAATGGTTACATTTGACAGACCACTGGTCTGTGTGCATTTAGACTTCCTATTGGTTGAAAGGCGATCTCTTTCAACCAATTAGCTTAGCAGGATTCTGCCAACCACTCGTTGGCAAATACCTTTCATTTAGAATATCACTTTAGGAGGAAACCCAAACACAAAACATAAAACATAAATAACAGTTCTCATTTTTACGGTAAATCAGCTTTTGCTTACTTATTTAACCCCTTTAGCCCCGCCCATTTAGGGCAAAAGCTACCCTGTATGGTACAGGATTATACAATATATAACCTTTACTATAAGCGGAGTTTTTGCGAGGATTTGCAATTTTGCCGATGGAAACCTGTCAAAGACAGGATAATAGGAACTAATTTAAAGTGCGTACCCTGTATTCTCCACGATAAGCACCAAACAGTTCGTAGACAATTTTGACAAAATTTGGGATGCACCATCTCTCACATCAATAGCTGAAAACTACACGACACAACTGCTAGAAGTCACCACAGTGTTGTCTCCGTTGGTACTTCCCTCGGTCACACTTCTGGCGACGCTCTGAGTACCTGGCGGTGCTCGAAGACGAATACTCTTGGCACCGGGAGGTATGTTGGCTCCAGCTCTCCAGAGATCATGCCAAATTTGGCTGAAGGTAGCTGAATTCTTGGGACCGTCGGGATCATGCTGACGCACTTTTTGACACAGGTAGATTTTGCCACGAGTCCCTCCCTCAGACTCATCACTGCTGCCGTCTTTGCCGTCTTCTTCTCTTGCTTTACTGGTCTCCTCTTTTGCGAGCGAGCACTCGACGCAATAGTAAGTGGTTTCCCACGCGGAAGCCCCAACACGCAGTATAGAACAAACCTTGCACGCATACTGGCGACGCTTTGTCCCCTCCTTGCCATCTTTTGTCCTTTAACGCCGACGTGATTCCACTTGTTCCAGTGTGTGCTTGGCTGGTAACGCATAGCGCGGTACGGAGCAGCTTGACACAGGTCGATCTGCTAGTGCTTCTACGCTCAAGTCGCCTTCAAAAAACAGCTGGTCCCATGCTTAGCAAAGCTGCTTGCATCAATCCCATGAACTCAGCATGTGTCGGAGGAGCCTTTCCAGCGTTCAATCTACTTTGTTCATGGCGGTAGATTATGTAGGCATTCACGAGCGACATATCGACAAGACCCAGGATGATCGTATGATAGTATTTTTTCATTTTCATCGCTCCCTGTATAATACAGCATAAACCAAAATAGCGTTAGGTACCAATTGTGTAATATACCGGATACGGAAAACAAAACAACTAACCTGTATAGAATATCGTTGCAGACGCAACTGGTCATGAGTGTCCGCTCCCCCCATTCCGTTCTGGTAATCCTTGATAAGCTGTGGTGTAGGGATTTGAACAATATCGGCACCTTGGCGGCGTGGTAGAGTAGTCCTTTTGATG